ATTATTCATTACTTTACATTACCTACATTTTTATATCAGAATTAAGAATGATTCCATATGATTCCATTCTCATTTTGTTTAAGGAAATACATTAAAAAACATGTTAAAAAAATAAAGTTGTCGTGTTTTCATAATTTTTTCTTTCCTTGTAATATTTTTTTTAATTTTTTTTCTCCTCTTATTATCATTTTATTTAATTGTAACAGACATTATTTTAGTAACCATTAACTGTGAAATGACTTCTGCAATCAAATTACAGTTATATCATAAATATACTCTGAAGAAGTTCGAAATCGCTGTAATGAAAACAGAGACTAATTGGTAAGGTATATGTTCCAGTTCCACTATTAATATTTGAGTTATAATTTTTAGGCTATATAATATTTAAATAAGGTAGAGTAGGAAATAATAATATAAGCGTATTCACCCTATTAAAAAATAAATTAAAATTATGATTACTTCAACATTCTTGAAATAAATAAATATTTTTTTATAGTTTCTAAATTGAAATTACTCTATAGTCATTGAAATTAAAGTTAAATGCACTTTTATTTATGGTTCCTAGACTACACTCGCAGAATATTATAAGTGATAATCATTTGCGAAAATTTAAAATATATATAAAATTTATTTATGCTTAATGTAAGAATACCTTAATATATGTATGTATATTTAATATCAGTTTTTCCTTACACTCGCAGGACACTATTTATAGATATTATTTACAATTTGGTCCTATTATGTTCTAGTATATTAGTTATAATCATAACTTCCACACTTAATGAGTCTTAATGTTTGACATTATACACCAGGCTAAATAAAAAAAAATTACACACATATAGCTATTATAAATCATGTACCTAAGTCTCTGACTGCATAACTATGTTTCTTCGTCAACTTGTTTTCATCTTTTTACTTTTTTCTTACTTACAGCTTTTTAGTTTTGGCCAGTAAGATATTTTTAGTTTTATTTAACAATTTCTGATCCTAAATTACTTTTAAATATATAAGTTGTTTATATTTTTGTAATCGCTTCATAAAAACATGTATTTTGATACCCCACTCGATTGATTTTCATGAAAAAAATTTCAAGACACAAATTGGCGTCAGGGATCCGCCATTTTGATTTTTTTAAACACATATCTAAGAACACTTGGGGCTTGCAGACAAATTAACTGTCACACTCCATCCACCTGTTTGGATGATACGAGGTAATACCTATAGAAATTTACAAACATAGGTACATACATACAAGATACGAGCGAAAAACATAACCCTTTCTTGGCAGTCGGGTAAAAATATTAGAGCTTATTTTTAAGTCATATTTCAGAGCCAAGAGTATGGTATTTGAATAGAGAACCAAAAGTCTCAATCAAATTCGTGTACCATTCATGCTAAAATTAAACCTTACATTTGAACAATTCTGAACTTTACCAATATATATCTGTATTGGAAATTAAATTAGCAATAATGCATTCATTACAATAATTAAAAATAATAAATCTAGGTAAGATGTACCTACCTTTTTACCTAGGTAAGATGTGGTAACAAACAAAATACACAAAAATTAACTAAGTTTACGTACGAAAATTCAGTTGTTCACAAAATACCTATAATATGTTATTTTACTACACTAAGTGAAAGTTGTTACTTGTTACACAAAACTAATAATGCCCTTTCAATTATAGTTTCATATTTCAGAACGCGAATATTTTCCACTAAACACGGTCAATTTTTTTACGGAATAGTTTCATTATGTTAATTATTCTTGATTGATGTTAATTAATTAATTCCAATTAAAGAAGTTTCCAAACTTTTGGAAACTTGTTAAAACAAGTTTGGTAAAACTCTATTTAATTGTATTTATCATGAGAGAGATTAATAATTCACGCTTTTATTAGATTTGTAATTTAAAATCAAAAAAATTATCATATTTTAGTATTTTACCCATAAAAATAGTGTTTTTTAAATTTTTCGTCAAAACAGTAATTGACGACACGTTTGGGTTAGTTTGTAGAGCATCTAGCAAGTTTTAGAAAGACATGTGAAGTCCGCCAACCCACACTTTTTTTTTTATAGTTGGGAAATCCTATTACGGATACCACCCAACTTCCCCCAGGGTGGTTATGTGGAGACTCTCCGGCTAATGAGACCGGCATACCCACTAAAACCCAACTTCCCCCCCCCCCCCTGCCGCCATGTGGGACGCCACGGGACCGCTTTCGCATACAACCGCGACGCCCCGACGGTTGGCCGAAGCCACCAACCATGAGGCCGCCCCAAGCGGGACGACCCCATTATGGGAAGACTTGCAACCCTAAGACGTGAGGCTGCTCCTAAGTCCACTCTGCTGAACAGAGAAGTACCCGGAGCAGCCCCACACGACCAAACACCGCCCACCGAAGTGGGCAACCTGCAAAAATAAGCGGCCTAAGCCTGAACCTTCCTACCCAAATTGGGCAAACCTCCAAGACGCCCGAAACCGAGCCCACCCCAAACGGCTGCAGGAGTAGAGGATGCGACAACGCCGACACTCCCCTTCCCCTACAGCCCCACCGCGTCCACCATCAACGGTGGTGGCCCCGCTAGGCCGCGGGAGATAGGGACGAGCGGCGCATCGCCATACCGACACTCCTCTTCCCCCGCGGCCCCCCTACCGTCGGCCCACTTCCGGACCAAAATGGCTGCCGACACCCACGCCAGACGCAGGACCACCGAACTGGCCCCGCTCCAGCCGCCGCACCGACGGGCTAGCCCCGGCAGCACGGCCCGCGCAGCGCCTCCTACCGCGAAACGGCCGGAGACACCGCGCTACCTCCAAGAAGGAGACGGCGCCCTCCTGACGCCGCTCCCCCCTCCCCTCCTGGCTGTTGGTCCGCGCCGGATTGCTCCGGTACCACAAGCTCCTGTCGGGTCCAAACAGTCGCGAGTGGTGTTCCCCTATCCGCCACCCGGGGACGCGTCCGGTAGCAGTCAGCCTCTGCCCCGGAAACCCACACTTGGCCAGCGTGGTGGACTATGGCTTGATCACCCTCGTATTGAAGGGAGGCCCAACCCCAGCAGTGGAACGTTAAAAAGGGCTGAATACAACAAAAAGGACTACAGAAAAGTGTGCAGTACTATTTTACTTAGGAGATAGACGGTGATGGTCTATGTCCTAGGTACACTCGCAATAACTATTTTTATCTATTCAAAAGGCACGTAGGGAGCGAGCGAAGCGAGAGTAAGTCGTTAGTTATTTATAATATATATATATATATATATATATATATATATATATATATTATATCTTCTTTCTTTTATATATATATAAAAGAAAGTTGTGTTAGTTACACTATTTATAACTCAAGAACCGCTGAACTGATTTAGTTGAAACTTGGTGGGGAGGTAACTTAGAACCAGGAGACGGACATTGGATACTTTTTATGCCATGGGACCGTTGCCGTGTGACGTGACATAAAACTCAAGAACGGCTGCACCAATTTTTATGATATTTGAATTTTTGGGTTTCTCTTAGTCCGGAATAGGATAATAAGTATTAAAACAGCAGAAAAATTAAAATTTATATGGCTAACGCTGGCTAATAACTATTTATATCTATTTAAAACGTACCTAGCGACGAACCCGTGCGAAGCGAGGGTGAGCCGCTAGTATGAATATAAATTTATTTCCGACTACTGTGTTATGTTAGTCTTTAGTCAACTATATTTATTTGTTGAATGGAAATTTGCATTGAAATAATGTTGTTTAAATGCAAATCTACTCCATTAAAATATAGCAGGTAAGGCTAGTTAGGTACTTACATCTGCATTATTTATTATATTTATAATTTATAATGCATAGATAATGAGTCCATTATCTGTACCATAAAATTAGGATACCTCGTCTTAATTTGTTTAACACTAGCTGCTCATCCTCACTTCGCTCGGGTTCACACAGGAACTGTACATTTTTCCGGGATAAAAAGTAGCCATGTGTTATTCCGATATATGAGCTATGTTAAAGTTTCATTAAAATCCATTCAGTAGTTTATGCGTGAAAGAGTAACAAACGTCCATACATCTATACATCCAGACAGATGTCTGGAAATCCTCACAAACTTTCACAATTATAATATTAGTATGTTACATACATAGGTCTATTCCCGACGGCCCTTACATTGCTTGAGCCATCCCTACTGTAACCTTTTCCCATGAGAATGAGACTATCCCGCAGTAAATAGTATCTTACGCCATGCTCTCCAGCCCTTCAACTTTCTATACTGTAAGAGTTACATAAACCTGTCACTCCATTTTGGCGTTAAAGAAACGTGGCCAAACAAACTTATTCATTTTTATTTTTCATTATATTCTTTTCGTTATATTAGCAACTAATATAATCTTAAGAAATGCCATTTTTTCACATTTCTGTTAAACTGTTCCCACTAAGCAAAGTATTTTTATTTTAAAAAGACGCTTAAACCGGTAGTTTTTAAGTGACTGTTGTTTTTTTAAAGGTTTTCGTGCTAAGCGAATGCTGAAAAAGCGAAAAACTCGTAATACGCTTAGTGTGACCACCAGTTAAAGAACATTTTCTGAATTTAAAGAGCTAGATATTTTATCCAAGAGGTTATTTTGTTGTAAAGTTTGTATCTACGTACTTTGGCCATAATGAATCCTTAAGTGGCAACTGACTTAATAGCATATAGACTAACATGACTGCCACGTCACAAAGGATATAGCGTGAGGGTAAGTAATTTCTCAATAAATTGTAATAAAAAGTATCCAATGTAATTAATTAATAGCCTATAAAGTATATCTATGCAAAAAACATATTGAATAATTCCACATGTCATTTTTTTAGTATTTGCGAGTGCCAATTGAGTACATATTGTCTTGGAAAATGCCATATTGAATCTCTATTCAATATAGTAGAGCTATAAGCACGTATTGTTGTTTATGTTGACTGCAATGGTATTTAGTTTTAGCTTAGCAAAAAGCTAAAAATTGCAACCCGAGCTAGAAGAGGTAGCTTCGCAACACCAACTATAACAAATACATATACATACCTTATTATGACAGATTTAATTCTCAAACCTATTATTTACTTCATAAAGCTCTACTGACTGACTGAATGCAACTTAACCCGTCTAAAAGCATGATATTTTACCCAGGAGTTGCTGAACTCAATGAAATCGAACAGACACCACGCGTTCTCGTCTTAAAAATACGTTGCAATCTTAGATTAGCACTAAGAATGATTTTTAGTATTAATTTTCAAATACACCTCCAAAAACGATATATGAGATGACTCTTTGATCAGGCACATACTCGTATGTAGTCTTAAAAAGAAAATATATAAAAAAAAAACTAAGCTCACCGCCTCTTTATCTTCTTGTGACTTCGGATATAGAGTAATATTTAGCACTATTTCGCCCAGGTCTTGGGTAGGTTTGTTCGGATCTTGTAGACATAGCACTAGGTCTTGCGATCGACCTAGCTCTAGTGCTGTAAGATCCAGATGACAGGAACCCATGAAGTCATCCTGCAACCCCCAATCGTAGTCGAAAACCTACAAAAGATATGTAATGATAATATAAGTGTATAATATTGTTAAGAGTTTACAGTTTTTTTTCTTAGGCTTAAGCATCGGCTATTAGTTAGACCTATTAAAAGTACTTTTTACAATGTTTATCAGCGTTGAAATTGTTATTTATAATTTATAGAATAATTCTTTTTTAAGTACGATCATATTACGCATTCATAGCGCTTTGGCCATTAACACTAGCAAGAAATTTGCTAGTTAACTACTCTTATTTTTGTTCCTATAACCTAAAACGAAACACCAAATTTGAAAATTAACCCGAGCGAAATCATGAGATATCATCAAAAAGTCATCTGTATTGTAAGCATATATACATTTGTAGTGTAAATGTTACTACAATGTGTGGGTGTAACAGGCCCATCCCACTCTACAATATGTCAGTCTTCATTAACAATATTAACAAAAAAGGTACACTGGCTTCAAATATAATAATATGTACGTAAAAATAATAAAGACGTTTTTTTAATATACATATAATATTTAACCTTTGACTAAGGTATAAATTATTCATCAGAAATGATCTATGAAAATCGCTTTCTGTTTTCTGAATTCGATTAAAAATAGTAAGTATATTTTAAGAACATAAAAGAATCAAATTAAAATTGGAATAAGGTGAAATGTAAATATTAAGTAAATATTACATATATTTATTTATTTATTATGGCTAAAAAAATTCCGTGTATTAAAATTATCTACAATAATACTTTGAAGGGCGGCTAATAACTTTCTACTATAAAGATATATCTAAAATGTTACTTCGAAAAACAAGTTCTAAAAATGCTGAACACGTACTGTTCCTTTCAGAAGTCCTGTTCCGTATATAAGACCCGAATAAGTTCGTCCTTCGCAAAATTGCTTACTGGATGAAAAATATTTTATATTAAATACGAGAATAAATAACCATCTAAACGCAAATGCGGTGCCTACTGCCTAGTGTAATATGACAGAGGGACTGTGTTCTTAATTAATGTCGGATTGATATGGTCACTGCCTCGGTGGTCTAGTGCCTTTTTTTTTAACGTTGGGAAAAGCATTTACGCACGAGGTGTGGGACTCACCAGCAAAGCCAGTACTACCCACTAAAACCCAACAAAGCCTTCCCCCGTCTTAATGGGGCGTCGCAGGATCGCCTACGCATTCAACTACGACGCCCCGACGGCAGGTCTGCCGAAGCAGACCACCACAACCATGGGGTTGCTCCACAGTCCACTCTGCTATCAGAGAAGTACCAGGAGCAACCCGCACGGTACACCGCTCTCCGAAGAGGGCCGCCTCCCACCGCCCACCGAAGTGGGCCACCTCCCTGTGCGTTTCTTGGCTCCGCGCCCGGTTGGGTTGCTGGGCACTACTGAGCCCCCCCACCACGACAAGGTGAATGCACGTTGGGGGGGCGGTGGTCTAGTGCTTAGCATGTACGGCCGCAGATTCGGAGATCCTGTTTCGAATCCCGGGTCAAGTCAAGTTCAGTTATTGAGTATTTCTGTTAAGAAATTCTCAGTAACAGCCCGGAGTTGGGAAGTTGATTTTTTTTCTATATTGTTGTTTGCTTCTCTAAAACGAATTATTAAAACTTTCGTAGACTTAAGCAAATATATGACAGTACACATAATTTTCTTTTGTTTCTGAGGTTTAGAATGCGCAAATATAGTCACAGAAGAGAATAAAGTTTTTGATGACCTATAAATTAGATAGTATAATAGACGGGGATGAACTATAACTTTTAACTGTGAATTATTATGAATTAAAAGTGTAAAAAATCCCCTATGCAAATTAATTGTTATTTAACGATTACACTGGCACGCGTGAAGCACTTAATCAAGTCGCTATACGCCAAAATGCCTTTCATCATTTTGGAAAAGAGCTGATACTCTTACAATGCTAAACCGATGTCAACCAAACATAGCTAAGAACCACCGCAAGGAAATTGGCTTTCAAATGAAAAAAACCGCATCGAAATCGGTCCATCCGTTTGAGAGCTACAATGCCACAGACAGACACACACACAGAGACAGACAGACATCGACGTCAAACTTATACCATTCCTCTATTTGCGTCGGGGATTAAAAACCGCGAAACATCCGATTAAATAGTTTTATTTAAATTAAATGTGGACATTTTTCAGTCTATGTACTATTTAATTGTAGAAACTTTAATTGGTCGATGTTTTTTTTCTATATTTTTTAATTGAATTACATTGTACTGTTTGTTTATCAAAAAAATAAAAATAAAAAATAAACATAGGAGTGGCTGGAGGACTGACAACACTGACGCTTTCATTAAATTGACGATTCAAAATTAATTTTAATAAGTCTAATTGAATAAAGTTTATTTCATTTCATTGTAACATACCTTTAATTGCACCGGTTGGAACGGATCTTCTATAGGTACAGTGAAACACTCATCCCATACTGGATTAAGGTCGCGATACACTATTCTTGATTTGTGTAAAAGTCTGCCGCCAGCCTTAAACTTCACGTACGGGTCGCTTGTGCCTGACAACAATCCTGGTTTTGGGACCCCACAAAATGCGTTATTAGAGAAAGTAAGAAGCAAACATAATATAAATAAAGCTTATAATTTCTAAGGTTCAAGGGTTCTACGTATCTACGTACAAAAACTTTTGGTCTAGCTACTATACAATTTTTTTTACAATCTTTGGTTACTTTTAAAGTCATGATATATTTGCGAGTATACTTAGCATTATAGTTTTACTTATATGATAGAGTAGCATTTATGACAATTAGAGCCTACGAGTAATTATGTTTTTTTTTTCAGATATGACTAAATTTTCAGATACACTCAGACTAAAACTATGAACTATTAGATAAAAAATACTGTGGTTATCAAAATAATAAAATTAGATATTAATCTAGAGGATATTTACTAAAAGCAAAAGCCTAAAATAAATGCAATTAAAATGTAAAAAGTGCAAAATTAAAAATGAAACATTATTAAAAAAATTGTTGTTGTAAATGTGTGTTGAATCGCTGGATTTGTCGCAGGTGTGCTAGAGATATACTTAAAGATAATATACTTTAGGAATTCTCCATTTTATTTATTTATACTATACTAATATTATAAAGAGGTAGAGTTTGTGAGTTTGTGACGTTGTAGAAGGTAATATCTGGATCTGCTAAACCGATTTAGATGAAATTTGGTAAGAATGACAGGAATAGAGCGTACACTTGTGTCTGCGCGTACACTTGTGCACTATAATATCTCCTGCGCAGTTGGCTAATCTCAATGAGATTGGCCGCCGTGGCTGGAATCGGTCGGGAGAACATCACATCATATATATATTTATAACTGCTTATCTCTCAAATTACTATACAAACGACGGGTTACTTTTTATCTCAGGAAAAACGAGACAGATGATACTCGTAGAAGAAGAATTGCTTAACTGATTTCAACGGATCTCTCTCTGGTAGAGCTTTTGACAAGACGAGACACAAGTTGTTTTTTATCGTCGCTCCAGGCAAGTGAGTCGAGAATCAAAAGTGTAAACAAATGTAATAAAATCCGAAATTTTGTTATTTAATATTATACCAAAGCTCAGTTTGATGATATATCAATAATATTTTACTTTGTCTAAAATAAAATGTGAAATCGTTTATTGTTAGTTAAAAAACTTACTCGTAGGTACTTAAATTGTTTAATGAAAAACATAAAGCTGTGACGTAAGTAAAATTTGTATATAGGAAGTTACGTTACTTTTAAACTTGGGCTGGTAATAAATGCCCAAAACTGTTGTAGTAAGCTTCTAAAACTTGAGTTGAAAACTTTAAAGTAAACCTTAGATAACGATTAAGTCTTATTATATTTTATTACATAGTGTACTGAAATCATCTACTACGAGCGTATTTTTTTTTAATTTTTAAAGAACCACGTCGTCGATTTCGAAATAAGGCTTATTGGAAGTTAAAGAAATGGAAAAAAGTCACGCCTCACCAATCGGACCCGATCATATTCCTTTTCGTGCCGTGCCCAAAAAAGAATTGAATAACAATAAATAAAACTGTACTCTAAAGAAAATTGTGTAGGAGTGATTAAAAAAATATAATAAATTATAAAACGTTCTACACACAAGTTATTACATGAATTAAATTAATAGGAGACAGGCCGTCGGCCGAAGTTTATGTGTTTTGACAGCTTTTAAGCCATATCAAAGACCCTCTGACTGTTTGACAATTTCTGACATCAAAAGCCCCGAAACGTGTAACAGAAATAATGACTTCAACTCAAATAATCGACTTCGAAACAACCTGAAAAGTAATTAAACTACTCTAAAATGCGGAATTGAACGAGTTTTTCTTCTTTGTAAATGGAACTATTTTCGAGGTATAGGATACTTAATAAAAAAACCATTAAAATCGATTCACTTTCTGTAAAGAATTATCGTGAACATAAATTTCATATGGTTTAGAAAAAAATCGATGACGGTTTTCTTTATACTGTTCTTTTTACCTTTAATATTTTCGAGCGTCTCCACACTGACTAAATTTAATGCTTCAAAATGCGCACCCTATTTAAATTTCATGTTGATGTCATAGGAACGTCTTATCGTATATAAAATTTAGTGTTATTTTATGAATATAGTAAATATTTGTTGTTTAGCTTTTTTTACACAGCGTAAGATCGATGATTTTTTTGCATAAAATTGATTTATTGGCCGATTTATGATTGACGTGGGTTTCTTTTTGTACACAACAACACATCACATGCTCCCAAAGGTGTCGATTTCGAAACATTACGGTTAGCATAAAAAATATATTTTTTAATATAAATACGTTTTTATTTGAAAGCAGTAGATATTTTGCATAGATGTGATTTTTTTTAATTTAGCATTTTAGTGCCGGTGTAGCGGTCGCCTACGTGAGTGTAGTGTGAAGTGTTGAAGTGGGTAATGTTAGAGACTCACCATTTTTATCCATGGCTATAAGGTTTTGACCCCTTTTTAAATGAATTCTAAGCTGAAAGAAGGAATATTGTCGTAGCTGTTGTTCCCTTAGCTTTTGCCCTTCGTCTGGCTCCTAGAAAAAAAAGCTAGTTTAATTTTAGTAGAAACAGATTATGTAAATAAATATAATATAGATTACTTTATACATACTATATAGTAAAATTCTTAAAAAATACAATCTCAGTGATAGATGAGTTCCCGATTGGCAAAATATTTTAGTGATGTACCTACCTATTTTTTAGTTTATTATTATCATTATCGACAGTGAGTATTTTACTATTTTTAACTATAAGCCCTAGTTTAAAATATTTCACTCATATAAAATATCAATCCGTATATGATACGAAAATATATATTAAATATAATTTAACATTAACAAAACAATTGTATCACAAAGATCAATATAAGAACAATTCAATCGGCGTTTTCCTGTTTGATACAACAGCGGCTATTAGTTCGATCACCATAAGAGATGAGTCTTTATGTAAATCGCAGATTTTGTTCTTATTTGGTTAAAACAAAGCTGCTTTAGAAGATTTACCGAATGCCAGAACCGGAGCTCGAAAATATTCGATAGTGTTCCTGTCTATTTAACAACGCCTGTAGAAAATTAAAGGCAATATTACATTTGGAAGAGTTTCAGAATATTAATGTAAGGAGAAAACTTGTTGAAAAATAGCTTGGAAATGTTAAAAGGGATGAAAGACATTTAATGTTTACTGGAAAATGTAATTGATGAAGACATCTTTGGTTGAACTTTCTAAGACCGCAGATGTAAAAGGCCCTTGCCCACATTACTGTGATGATATTTTCAATAAAAGATTAAATATCTATGAATAAAAATATAATAAAAAAAATCTCTGGATTTCCTTTTTCTTTTTAGAATATAAATGATATTTTTTTATACTAGCGACTCACACTCACTTCGCTCGGGTTCGTCCATATTATTTTCTTGAGCGGAACCCTAATTGTTTTACGGAAATTAAAGTAGCCTAAGTTATTTCTTAATAATAACCTCAACTACATGTAAGTGAAAGTCCCGTCAAAATCGGCCCAGCCGTTTCGGAGATTAGCCGGAACAAACAGACAGACAGGCAAAAATTAAAAAAAAAAAGTGTTTTTCTTGTAAATACCGTATATAATTCCATATGCATTTAGTAAAAAGTTGTTATTTTGACATTACAAACAGACACTTCAATTTTATTTATCTGTAGAGATATATAGATTCCGAAACAGACTTTTTCAGTGTATTTTTTTTTATTTTAGGTTTATTTTTGATTGATTTATTTTGATGTTTACATCATCAAATGTGAAAATAGAAATAAATCATCCAGCGTGGAGCGAAGTAAACATCTACGTTCTTTTATTTATATCCATAAAGAAATAATTTATTGTTTTAATCTTAATTCCCATCGGTGCCTTTATTTTTTTGGTCGTCGACCATCCTTTTCTTTTCCAATTTAATTATTACAATATTATATAGGTATACTCGTATTCTTATTAGGTATATTTAAAAACTACCTTGATTTATACATCAAGTAGGTACTGTTATATATTACTTTTTGAATTGCCATTATATGACTTTTCATACTATAAAGTTAATATTCTGAATATTCAATCTCAAGTTTTAGTTTGCGACAAGTTGAAGAAGATGATGTTTCGTAACATCGACCCAGTAAAATAGAACTTCAGTAACAAACTAAACTAGTTCCACACTAACGATCTAACTGCGGTTACGCGGAAATAGAGAATAATTTTGCATAACGTTGAAACCTTATTTAATTAGTTACCATATTTACTTATATGTATATACTAGCAGGCGGGTTCTGCTGAATCTGTACATTAAATATTTTTTGGAAAATCTTATTAAAATAGATATTATTATCAATACAGAGGCCGAATCTATAGTTTTTAGAATTTTTGTCTATCTGTCGCCGCATCACAGAAAAACCACTGGAGGGATTTTGATGAAATTTGGTATGATGATAGCTGGTTATTCAGGTCAACATATAGGATACTTTTTACCGCGGGAAAATATCACATTTTTGAGAAAAAATACAAAAACTGCATTGTAAGAGTATACTAATATGGGAAACCTAAGAATTTGGTTTTTGGTCATCTGAACGCGGGCGGAGCCGCAGGCAATGCTAGTTACCTATATATGTTCAACGAATGTCATGATGGCGCCTCGGCTCTTAAGCTGCATGACACGATCGAAGTCTACTTTGACAAAGTAGTTTTGATGACTACTTTGACGCAACTTTGAATATGTAAACTTTTGTCAAAGCAGACTTTGAGCGTGTCAACACGGCTTTATGAATTCGATTTGACGTAAAATGACAAAGTGACTTAAACAGTAATGAGGACATTTTAGCAGAGAAAGGTAGCAAATCAAATGAAATTATAATTCATTTCTATTAAATCCTAATGCTCCGACATATGTATATATATATATATATATATATATGCCATTGAAGTCTCTATCAGTGGTTTTAAAATAGCTACGTCGTATTCTACAAGCTTTCATGATATGCTGTCCCGCAGAAACGTTTTACTGTTTCAGAACATCACATAGTATAAACTATAAATGAACGCAAACATAAACACTTATTATAATAATTTATATTCAAATGAGCACGTAGTTTCCGTGGAAAACAAGTTTTTTCTCCTATGTTCCAGGATTTTCATATATACGATGGTAGGACTCTGTCAAGCCTAAGGAATCCCTTATATTTCTCCCGCCAAGCAATAATGATTACATTGTTGTGTTCCGGTCTGAAGGATAAGGTAGCCAGCACAATTACAGGCAAGAGGCATATCATCTTAGTCCTCACAGTGACAACGCACCTGCAATTCTGCATTTTTGTAACATAAAACCTAACTGCATGAACCGTAAGTGTTATGGGCGACGGGTACCGCTTTTCATCAGGTGGCTTGTTTGCTCGTTTGTCACTGAGTACTATAAAAAAATATCTACGAGTTTTATTTCTAGAATGCTAAGCTTGTAATCGTAGGATGCTGCAACGTTATTAGTTATCATTTCATCTTTGTTCTTATCAATTTTTTCTCATCCTGTTTCGAGGTCACTGTCCCTATGATATATGTATATGTAAATATATCATATTACGAGTTCCAACGCACAATAAATATCTAAGTATGCTGTCTAAATATCTATAATATTATGAAAGAAAACGGTATTGATTTATGTTGTGAACAAAATTTGATTGAAGTATTGGTAAATATCAGAATTCAGATGTATACCAATTTTTTACTGAATTTGAAGAGCCATACAAAAGTCGTAGAGTGATTATTATTTATTTCTTAAAAAATGATGTTAAAGAAGTATGAAGCAAAGTATATATTTATTATTATATGTATTTTACAGCAACTCTCGCTGTATTGAGTACGTTTTTAGGGGCTAACCTATGTGTTACTCTATGTTATAGCTTATGTGTCTACCAAATTTCAATCCAACTAGGTCCAGCTATTTTAGATTGAAGGAGTAACAAAAATACACTCACACACATACAACATATATAATGATAATAGTGATATTACCAATTGCAGAAGATTAGCTGGCGGTCGCGAGATATGCGCAGGAGTGCCAGAAGTGGACGGCACAGGATCGATGGAAGCTTGCCGCGTCACTGATGAATCTAAAACAATAAGAATAGTATTAATTAGAAATAATTTAAACAAAACCTTACGTGTATGGAGGGACTAAAAAATTTTCATTATTTTGCTCTTCAAACCTGCGATTGAAATGTAAGGTAATATCATAGTATGAAATAAGTTAAATATTTGAATTCATTAAAAGCAAAAATCTAATCAGGAAGTTTCGTTTAAAATGAATTTGACTTAATTCTCCTATCGTTATATTTGTAAAGGAATTAGCTTGCTGTTGCAATTTCGACAGATATTAGTGTAGGAACTACCTATAACTTTTATAATTTAATTATTCGACTCAATGTTGCCACTCGTTACTCTTGAACTGATTGAATAAAACTGGGCAACATTTACATATTTTACTGCTGCGCCTTTCTGCTGTATTTCTTAACTAAAATTGTATTAACTTTATATTCATATAAATCAGACTAAGGAATAGGTAATATAGACAGTGTCATAGAACTAAGCATGAAGTCAAATTACGTTTTAAAATCGACTACAGATGTCAATACAATATTATACATGAGGTACTTTGATAAGTAAATAAATTCTAATAAATAAAAATAACTGACGGAATTTATTATAATAAAGATTTAAAAAAACTCAAATATTATGATATCTCTCTTTCAAGTGAAAGAGAGATAGAGAAGACAACTAATGCTTAAAAATACAAATGAATATAGTATTCCTTTATTATTTATAGGTTCTTCTCAAAAATTTACGAATAATACCTATAAAAAATTTCCCTTATATATTATTTATATTTTTTCTTTATTATTTTTTTATTTATTATTTTATTATTTTCTTTGAGGAAAATAAACGAATGGCAAAAACGAGAGTAGTAGCACGACCATAAAATAATGCTACTATTTTTTACTTTTTTTTGTATTGCGCGCTCCGTCTCTATAATTCTTTAGTCTGAGACATATAAATACTAAGCAATCAATGAGTAGTATTATTTTAATAAAATTTATTTTTCAGGTCAGCAAAGTGAGAATAATCGAAGTAGGCAATTAGACTAATCCCAAAACGGTTGAATGAATACTTAATGTATTACCTGGGCCTGTAGTACCTGGGCGACCGAGCTTTGCTCGGAGTTTTTGTCCAAAAAGACATTTTTTTTTTAATAAATACAAAAAAAAACAAAAGTAAAAGCTTTGTATCCGACCGGAATTGTCAAACTTGCGCCTTGGCCGCTTGACCACGATGCAGTCCGAGTGTGCGATTTAGCGACCATATTTTGCGTGGAATAATGCAAAACCAAATCGCATGAAAACTTAAAAACATGCGTTTTCCCAGACATAACACTAATCTAGATCAATTTATCACCCCGAAACCGCCTGTATACTAAATTTCATGAATATCGTTGGAGCTGTTTCCGAGATTCAGATTACATTAGATAAGTAAGGGATGAGATTTTCTATAGTCATTAAAAACGACATGGAAAAGGAAAAAGAAGCAAATTCTGTTATTTACACCGGCCGTCTACAAAAGAAAATGTTTCGTCATTTGTTCCAAGAAAGTCGGCATGAAAGGGGAATGGTGTAATGAATGAAAGAAACAATAAAACTCGTAGATCTATGACCATTATTTTCGATTCCTTATATACTTTGACCTTCGGATGGTTTCCATGCTAGTAACAAAACTGAGAAATTTCCGGATCCGGACTCCGATATGATAGAACTAAAAATGTAAACACACGCGAAGCCCCCATAGAAAAGCAATATAGCGTTAGTAGTTACAATTAAAAAGAATTACAGAAGAGATTTTTTGCGCTTTTTTAATTGAATATACATAAATATCAATAAATAAATATTTATTTGTAAATATAAAAAGAAATAAAAATAAACTGTAAAATATTGAAATGAAATCAAGTGACTCATATTTTGCCTCGTATGTTAACCGAAAGCTCTGAAAAAGCTTTTTGGAATCATTAAACTTCTTGCAGAGAACCATATAAGCAGTAACTTAGTCGTTTTACTTAATTGAAATAGTAATTAAATTGCCGTAAATGTGCTTAATAAAGCTAAAACAAATTAAGATAGTATCTTCATTGTACCGAACTGTTAGTGCTTACTATGGAAGATACAAAGTCAACATTTCTTTCTATTTGAAAAGCCGTTTTAAGGGTTTTGTAACCTTCACTATCCCTTTTACGATTTCTTCCGAGTTGAGGTATTTGTACTTTACTTATACGTATTTTTACTTTGAGTATAGTATTATATCAATTATACTCAACAACTCAACAATTAAAATATGCCGACCCGGAACTCGAACCCACAACCTCCGGATCGGCTGTCGTACATGATAGACACTGCACAGAGCACCGAGGTCGTTAAACAAGCGTGAAAGACTAGCGTTAGTAAGTACAATATATTTTTTTAATATTTTACATATTAGTCAAGTTCTTGATATAATAATAATATACAGGAAATTATGTACATATGTATCTTTTTAACGTCCAACTGCCAGGCATGGGCCTACTTTCAATACGAGGGGGATCAGGCTCTAGTCCAACACGCTGGCCAATGCGGGTTGGCAGCATATCTTTCGAAAACTTCTTTGGTTCTCCCAGACATGCAGGTTACATGATATTTTTTTCCAACGTAAGACAAGTGGTATATTGGAAATGATTCGCACACGAAAATATCAGAGGTAGGGGACCCGGGATTTGAACCCGCTTCACTCGGTTTCCCTAATGAGTTCATTACTACTCGGCTACCACTGCCTACCGGATACTGTATATTATATACATACTTATTACTTAGGTATATTCATATGTTATTTTAACTTACCGTCCCTCTTACGGAAGAGGCGCATCATCCGCCACTTCCTAACTGCCGTCTTAAGTTTCTTCATGAGCAAACAGTTCACAAAAGCACTTATTACTCTGTGACGCCATACTGAACACATTTATTTATTATCTGTTTATTTATTATGCTTTTGTCTTTTTAATTGTGTATGAAAATATTAATTATAGTCTATAAAATAGTTTTTATTTCATTTAAAAATGTATGATCTATGGTAAAGACATCATTGGCTGTCATTTTAAACTCGTTATTTTCAGGAATAATAAAAGATAATGAATATTAAATAAAAAAAATAGAAATTTCTTCGATCTTTTTTGTAAAACCATGAAAATGTGTTCTTTGAATGACATTTCTTAAACCTATTTCATTTTCATTTAACGTTTTATTTTTTTAATTTTCCGATGACTGAGGGAAATTACATTTTTTTTAATTCAATATATTTTATTTGGCATTAAATTATTACATTTTTTTACTGAAAGTCGTGAATCTATTACCATTTCGGAAAAAAGAAGCCTGTAAAGAACTGGCGATAAAAACTCAACTAAAATAATATTGTTTTACTTTTTTGTAGACAAATTATAAATTACAATAATTCTAAACAAAATAAAGTAGCTCGGAGGCGATCATCACACTCCCAAGGCGTGCCCTGCCATCTTTTATAGTAGTCGGTGCTACACATTCTAAAGTATTATAAAAGGCACCTAGGCATATTCCCGAGTGAAGCCAGGGTAAGTAACTAGTCCGTATTATTAATATTATAAATATTTATTAGAAAGTTTGTGAGTATGTATGGTTGTTTGTTACTCTTTCACGCCAGAACAGCTGAACGGATCTGAATGAAATTTGGCACAGAAATAGATTGTAGTCTGGAATAATGCATAGGCTACTTTCTATTCCGAAAAATATACGTTTCCCGAGGGATAGATTTGTATTTGTTTTTCTAGAGGTGAACCTGAGTGAAGCGAGAGTGAGCCACTAGTTTATAATATATCTGCTAACAGTAATACTAAATGATCTATTCATTATTATATAATACCTACTATTGTTTTGGCAACAGTAACAACCACGAAAGAGAAAAAAAACAATTATCTTCCGTGGTGAAAACAAAACATTAGAGGGCTGCAAAACGCAATGTCTTTGCCTCTCAATACATTTATTCTGTTTATTATACGTTCTTATTTTGGCAAAGTTAGCTCTAAGGGCGGACCTTCAATTGGCAAGCGTAAACAAAAACTTCCAACGTAGATTGCTTTTTGTATGTCAATACGATAAAAACTTTCATCAAATAGCTCTGCCAATTGATCGAAAACTTAGGTAGTAATTCTACAAAAGCTATTAATTTACAGGTCAACATTATGGAATGAGCTTTTTTATTTTATTTAACTACAGATGATAAATTATTTATTAAGAACCTTTATTCAATATAATATAAAATATCCCAATGACTTCAGTTTTATCGCAATTGAGAAATTCTGTTCTTAGGAAAAACGACGCATTAAGCAGTAATAACGTTAGAGTAAAGGATAGTATTCAGCAACTTATTTATAGCCTTAGCGTCTTATGAATCGAATTCGATTATATGGAAATTTCTTCAAGAAATCCGTATTATTATCTATACATTAATACAATTGTAGCTACCTAAGCCGAATCTGTACATTAAATATTTTTTGGAAAATCTTATTGAAATAGACTTTATTATCGATACAGAAGCTGAATCTGTAGTTTTTAGAATTTTTTGTCTGTCTGTCTGTTATCGCATCACGGAAAAATCACTGGATAGATTTTGATGAAATTTGGTATCATGATAGCTGGTTATCCGGGTCAAAATAGGTATAGGATAATTTTTACTGTGGGAAAATATCTCATTTCTGAGAAATGAATACTAAACGTTAAAACGTAACCAAGGACGAACCCGAGCGGAGCGAGGTTGAGTCGCTAGTAATATTATAAATGTGAAAATTTGTGAGTAGGTATGGATGTTTGTTACTCTTTTGCGCCAGAACTACTGAACAGATTTAGATGAAATTTGCCACAGAGATAGATTATAGTCTGGAATAACACAAAGGCTACTTTATATCCCAGAAAAATGTACGCCCCGTGGGATAGGTTAGTTTTTGTTTTCCTCGAGACGAACCCGAGCGAAGCGAGGGTGAGCCGCTAGTACGGAATAATGCTTGCAGTCGAATGATCAAAGTAATAATATCTAATAATAATATACATAACAGTTTGATAAAGTTTTATAAAAATATTCAAAGAGGTATCAGTCTTTCAGATATAATGTTCCACTTATCATATTCAAATCAAGACAGACTTTTACAAGTACTCTTGAATCGCCAATTCTTACATTTTAAAAATATCCGTATAGATTTGGTTCATATTTAACATAAAAAAATCTGTATTCATCTAAATATACTTGTAATCAAAAGTAGATGAGTCGTAAAACAGCGTGAAACGCCCTTTATTTCTCTCGTAGCAATTTTATTCAAGGGCACTCGTGAAAAGATGCTTGAGGTCGGCATTTTAGATTTACTTCAAGCCTTTTGCAAGTTCAAGGGCGGCTCTCTTAAAAGTATAATACTTTACAGGTGTTAAAATAAAGTACTCTTCGAAAAACTAACATAATATCCACCTGTATTATAAATTTAAATAAAATTGAATTTTTTTTCTTAAAATCCTTACTCGGACTATTAGGAACATTTACCAAAAATTAGCTAACGGCCCAGCTGTTCTCTAGTTAACTTCCCAACAACTAGCATTTCATTTCGTAATGAAAATTTTTAACTTATTTTATATATAATTATATAGAATCAGTTAAATAAAAAGAGAAAAAAGCATTCGAAACTGTAAAGCATTCCAAACGTCGGGAACCAAAAATCTAAATAAAACCTCTAAAAATCCGAAAAGATAGTTTTATTTAAAATGAGAAAAAAGTCTGTTCCCTGACCTCTGATTATGTTCCCGCTCATTACAATCCATACTAATATTATAAATGTGAAAGTGTGTTTGCTTGTTTGTTTTTTTGTCTTTCTTTCACGTCGAAACGGAGTGATAGTTGGAGGCCTGGAGAGTGACATAGGCTACTTTTTACAGCGGGAGATAATCTCATTTCCACGGAAAAACACGTTATAATACAGTCCAAAAATTATTTATGATCAGAATTACGTGAAAGTTGGTATTAATACTCTTCAATACAATTAAATAAATACGTTTTTTAGCATTTTTCGATATTCATACCATAAAATAAAATAGCGGATGAAAGTTTGTATGAAACATGAGTTTTTCTGTAGTGTTAGCGCGAGCAAAGCTGCGAGTTCTGTTAGTAACATATAAAATATTGTTTTTAATAATATTATTCCAATGCAAAATTTTAGGTATACCAAAGATTGAACGGGAAAAATAGATTCTCAAAGCAAATAACCATAGACGTTATAGCCTCGAAGAAGAATCATAAAATCGTTTTATATAAAAATTTTACGAGCCACTTATTTGTAACGTAGTAAGTCTGATTAAAACACAACCTACTGCCTAACCAAAATAATTAATTTGCGTATGAAATAACTGAAATAATAATGAAAGGAAATGTAGCAATTCAATCAGCCAAGAAGTGGAATGTCCTGCCTGCGTCTGTTCTTCCGAGTGCGTATAACCTGAATCTATTTAAGGTGCGTGTTAACAGGCTTCTCCTGGGCAAACTCGCTAGATCGTAGACCTTATCTGTGCCTTCAAGCTAAGATGAAGGTCAAGACTAAGCCCATCCATTACTACAGACTAAGACCATTTTATTTTTTTGTCGTTCAGCAGTCTCTCCCGTGACCATATTTGCTGTAAAAGCATCCGAAACATCAAAGACCAAAAATCAAAATGAACTGCGAAAAAATGGTACCGTAGGTTTTATTTCAATGTCAAATGTTCGTGTAAATGTGAAAGTGTGTTTGTTTGTTTGTTTGTCCTTATTTATGGACGGCTTGGCGAGATTTTTTTATGGAGATAGGGCTGGAGAGTGACATAGACTACTTTTTACCGCGGGAGATTATCTAATTCCCACGGGAAAACACGTCAAAATAATATTTATGATCAGAATTATTTGAAACTTTGTATAAATGCTCTTCAATACAATTAATTAAATACGTGTTTTAGCATTTGCCGAAATTCATCCCATAAGGGGGTAAAATAAGGGATGAAAGTTTGGATGAAACCTACCATTTTAGAGGTTTTTTTGTAGTTTTAGCGCGAGCGAAGCCGTGGGATCTGCTAGTATTATATATAATAAATACATATAACAATTAATATAAACATTACTATATCGTTAAATACATACGTATTTTAATAAAATCCTATATTATGATACTGTATTAAAATTTGCAGAGACGCTTAGACGTTTGTTGCTCAAATTAAGCGTAAACTGTAAACTGATTGAGTGAAATTTGATACAGCGGTAGACTATATCCTGGATTATCGCACGTTTATGCTAAGTAATAGAATATTAGTTTCAACTAAGCAAAACTGAGCTGTTAAACCTCGTTGTGCGAAAGAGACAATTTACCGCGGAAAAGTAGCGTATGTCACTCTAGAGCCCTCTAACTATCTTCACACAAAAAATCACGCCAAGCCGTTTTGACGTGCAAGAAAATCTAACAAACAAACACACTTTCATATTTATAATATTAGTATGGATTATGGTGTCAATAGGAAAGCCATAGATCCCTGGGCCTTTACTTACTCTAATATTTTAATTACTTTACTTTTTGTATAAGTGGTTGCTATAATTGTAGCGAAATGAGTATGTAATATACAAAATACCCGTATATTGTAGTACACCCTATATTTTCCTCCTGTTTTTGTAGCCTATTTTTACGTATTTACGCAAAGTTTTACCGTATCAGATTCCATACAAATTGATATATCTTACTGATAGAACGTAAACAAGCTATAGTTACCGAGTTTAATAATTTGCGATCAAGTTCAAGGCCTCACTATATCGAATGTCGTGTGGCTCTTCCATTATACAAACAATTTCTTTGAAGCTTTTGAAGCTTTTGAAGCTACAAATATGGGTAGACGAGTAAAAAGGATTTGTTTTACTTAATGTTAATAATACTTAAA